TTGGTGGACTCTGACTTCTCCAGCTCACAGAGGAGGCTGTCTTGTTGGGTCAGAGTTTGGACCACTGGGTGGGTTTCTTTGGTTTCACATGATGTCAGAGGAGTACTCACCGGGCTCGTGTCCTCGGCTGAGGAGTCCTTTGCGCCTTCCGCGGTACCTGCTGTTGGGCAGTCTGTGTCACACCCCGGAGGCGTACCTATTGGCAGTGGTTTGCTCACTTTGGTCCACATTGTTTGATCACCATAATCTATAATCGCGTCGAAGCGATTTATAAAGTCCTGGCCAACCAAGAATGGGAATGAGTCAACACGAGACACGTGTACTGGGTGGTACAGTGTCATTTTGCCAATCTGCATGTGAACCATTGCTATAGCTGTCAGGGTTGTTCTCTTCTCTGAGAGACCCTGCATTTCTATAGCACATTCAGAGAGAGGTATCATCCTGTTAACACTGGCAGCGGCCGTCCTCAGCTCCTCGAACAGTTTAGCTGACATAATTGTTATGTCTGCCCCACCGTCCAGAAGTGCTTCGTGTGTGAGGACACCTTCGAGTGTTACCGACAGGTATGCCTTTTTGGCGGCCCCCTTTCTGATAAAGTTACACAGAAACCTTTTGGGTTTTTCTGACGCTTCTTCATGCGTTCAGCCTTATCTGTGTAATCTTGGTTTGTCTGAACCGTCAGCACAGCAGCAGCTGTTTCTGAGTGTTCAGCCTGCGATGACTCGTCATCGTTTGTGTGTGTTTTTACCCCCCCTTCTTCCGATGAGGGGTTGTTTGAGGCAACAACAACAATGTCTTGGTGTGTCCCACCGACATCTGTAATGTTGTCATTCGCGCCCTCAGATGTAATAGTGATCATATTACTGCATAGTGCTCCTGGTTGGGTTCCCGTGTCAGTGTGTTTCAAAGTTTCTAACAACCTGCGTATTTTCTCTGTCTCCTCCGAGCTCAGAGGTGTAGGGCCTTGTTTCTGGAACTTTTGTGATTTTTTTCGCCTCGGTTCGTTTCGTCCGAGGTAGGGGAAGGTCAGGTACGTCTTTTGGGGGTTCCTTTACGTACTGCCCCTGATGATATGGGTTCCCATATCTTTGCGTCCTACGATCACCCCTTTTACGATAATCACGTTCATCCTCTGAAAGAGGAGCTTTTTTGTCCCAGCGCGCACCTTCAGGACGCGGTTTGTTAGTTTGAACAGACTGTTTTCTCTCAACTTTCTTAGGAGGAGGCGGCGAGGCACGCCGTCCTTCCAGTTCAAGAGGGAGGGGTTTAACCTTTACACTAGGAAACACTTCTATGGGCGTCTTAGCATGAGGGCATGCCTCGAACACATTCACAGCACACTGTTTAATCTCACTGATGGATTTTTCTCTGAAATTTGCCATCATTTGTACTGATCGTCTAAAATCAGTGTGGAGATTTTTGCTGAAAACAAACTTAAAACCTTCCTCTTCCTCCATTCCGGTTTCATTTCTGTTACCAAAATAAGCTTGGAAGATTCTTTTGTAATAAAATCTTGGATGTTCAGTTTTGCCCTGCGTGACCTTGTCTGCAGCTGGGAAACCAGCAGGTCCCGTGCAGGAGTCGTACTCTCTGATCAAAGCTTCACACAGAAGGTTGTAATCCCTTCTCGTTGCATCAGGTAGACGCTCGATGAAGGTGAACACCTCCCTGTCCGAAGTGAGCCTTATCAGACTGATCTTATCCTCAACCGTAGCATTAGGATAACCTCTCAATCTGAACTCAAGATCTCTGAGATACGCTTTTGTTCCAGATGAACCCATCGGTCCAGGTACAAAGCGTTGTACATATTTTGAGATTTTTTGCAAATCATCCATTAAAGGAGACAGTATCAACGGTCTCTCTTGTGTGGTTGGTGGTGCAAATTGGTGAAGGTCTGCCCCTACCACCCGAGATGGGGGTGGGGATGACGGAATGGTGTTAAGAGTAGGAGGTGCAAGTCGGTGCAGATCCGTCCCTATCACCCGAGATGGGGGTGTTAGAACGGGACTAAGAATAGGAGGTGCAAGTCGGTGCAGATCCGTCCCTATCACCCGAGATGGGGGTGTTAGAACGGGACTAAGAATAGGAGGTGCAAGTCGGTGCAGGTCTGTCCCTACCGCCCGAGATGGGGGTGTGGGTGACAGAATGGGGCCAAGAGGAGGAGGTGCAACAGCATCAGTCTGGGGTGGTTGTGGCTGACCCGGACCCTGACCTTGTTCGTCTCTGAGTCCCAGACCAGCTCGCCCCACGTCAGAAATCTTGTTTGTTGCTGTGGCTAGATTCTCCTCACAAGCTTTCAGGCGCTCCTGTGATGTCTGACATTCACTTTGTAAATGCCGACAATGTTGGAGCAATACCGCCTTTTCCGCTTTGCAATCCTCCAGCTCCTTTGATGCGAGCTGCAACTGTTGTTGTAGCACATCGTTGTCTAAACACACGGCTTGGTACACACGGTCTTTATCCCTAATCCTCTCCTCATATGATTGAGCCTGTACTGACAGCTCAGTCTTTGAGAGGTCCCTCTCAATCTGAACTCTTTCTGCCTCCAATGCAGACTCATTCATCAATTCGTCACACCTCTCCTTTTCAGATGCATATCCTCTGGATAGCATGACATTTTGTGCAACCTCATTGTCCAATTCCGCTTTGAGAAGCAGAGAAATTTTTGCTAACCGTTCACGGCTCGATTTATTATCTTCGTTTACCGTAGCTCCCTTTGCCAAACTTTTCAGTTCTGCTTCTCTTTGATTTTCATCAAGTTGTTCCAATTGGTCTAATTGCTTACCAATAATTGAATTTGTTAAAATATGTAAAGCCGTTTGGACGGCATCTTGGGAGTGCAAGAGGCCAGTGTTTACGTCTTCGTCCGTTAAAACCAACATTTTTGAACGGATTTTTTACTCAAACGTGGCAAAATTGTAGCGATTAGAGCTTCAAAGACACGGAGCAACGTATCAGAATCAACTTTAAAGCGTTTGTCAACTTGTAAAAAGCAGATTTTAAGCACAGAGAAGGTTCGGTGCAACCGAACTTATTTCCGGGTCACGTGACTGAATCCACCAATGACAGAGCAACAATGGGGTCAGAGGAAGTGACGTAGGCACGTCACTCACTCCTCAGCGACACACAGCGTTCCAACTCAGCCG